TCACCTGATGGTAAGCAATCGGCGTCGCCCATGGACACCTGGAACACCAGAGGCGTTACAAGTGCGTCACCGGCTTTTTGGGGATTAGGAGTTTGAGGATCGTTGGGGATTTGGGGATTCAGGGATTGGGGAGATTGGGGAAGGGGAAGGTAATTGGGCCTCCGGTAACCTCACTCACACGACGAAACACAACGCAAGCATTGCTTCACGTCGGTTTTCTGCTCGGCCGTGGTATCACTCCGGTCGAGCCGGCCCATTCGTGCCGAAGCATGGCTCTCCCACACTTATTTACAACTAGCTTTTACCCGCGGCTTCGCTCGCTTCACAAAAGAATAAAAAATAAAAAGTAAAAAAAAAACTGTAAGTAATATGATATGAGATTACACTGATCACCTGTACACACTGTCCAGAACTCGTAAATTAAGTTTTTTATATGGGATGGAATAAGCCGGTAATCGAGCCAACGGATCACCTGATGGTAAGCAATCGGCGTCACCCATGGACACCTGGAATACTAAAGGCGTTACAAGTGCGTTACCAGCCTTTTTAGGATTAAGAATTCGAGGATTGTTGGGGATTCAGGGATTGGAGACTGGGGAGGGGTAACTGGTCCTCCACTACCCTCACTGACTCGACGACACACAACAGTGTCACGATGGTGTACTGGTTGTTGGCATCACTCCGGTCGAGCCGGCCCAGCAGTGCCGAAGCATGGCTCTCCCACACTTATTTACAACTAGCTTTTACCCGCGGCTTCGCTCGCTTCACAAAAGAATAAAAAGTAGCCTATGTGACATATACACACAGCGCCATCTATACCAATGATTTCGTTATTCCTAGAGAATATCAAATTTTCCGGGATAAAAAGTACCCTATTATTTAATCCAGACTTCTAACTTTACGTCTGCAAAAATTCAAAGCAATCGGTTTAGTAGTTACGGCGTGAAAGCGGAACAAACAAACAAACTCACTTTCCGATTTATAATATTAGTAAGCATTTCATAAAGTTCAAAATTGCATAGCTTAATATGCTAGTGTCCACACAGCACGCAGTATCTTATCGCAACCAGCTAAGTTCTGTAACTGCTCGGTAAACAGGAATTAATGTCGAAGGTCACACAATGACCTGATTCACTAACTCTAAGTATCATCAACCGCTGACATTACGGATTTATCTACTTTATCATTATTTAGAACAACACTTGATTATGTAATAGATGATGCCATGTAGTGATGGCGGAGTACAATACATCATCACCTTTAATCTTACCGTGGATGTCTAATTAAACTTTTAACGGAAATGGGGGTAGCAGCGTCTCTGATAAACCTGAACCTTTTGGATATGGAATATTGCGACCTCGTACCCGCCTGCCTGCGGAGCCTTTTGTTTTTCTTTTCAAAAACGTTGCCCCACACTAAGATTTCCTTCTGTATTGTGGGTGCGTTTACAAATATACAAAGTGTCCTTTTGGTCAAATATACAAAGTGTCATTACTGTCCTTAAGGTTATTTTCTTTATTGATCACTGTGACTGGATTTTAGTGTTACATTGTTCTCGCACAATCCAAACAGCAAAACTATGTAACTAGTAAATTGTATTGTGAACCTGATTGAAAAGGAGTAACCTATGAAGTTACTTGCTCGTTCTTCTACATAGGAATCTACACCTTGGAATGAGCAAATAGCTTCACTTTTAATTATTTTTTTTTGTTGGCGTTCAAAAGTGCCATTCTGGCCTAATTGAAATAAATGATTTTGATTTTGACTTTGACACCTAAACCCGAAACATCAATTTGTGGGTCACACAGAGTTGCTCCGTGTGGGAATCGAACCTGCTACACGTTTCGCTGCTACCGGTTGCCCAGCCATCGCACCAACCATGCAGCCACAACGAACTCTTTTACGTAGAGGAGACACAGAGTGCTGCAGTGCACTGTCTACTGTTGTGATGGGAATCTCATGTAGATATATTATGTATAATTGATTGGAACACAAAAAGCTAATAATATCAACAATCCACTGTCTGTCTGTTCAATAACTATGTTAAACCGTTTTGTGGGAATGTTTACAAACTATCCTCGCATGTTGTGATACACATCTCACTTAGATTTGTCAATTGTCAACATTACCAGGTACGTACGTACTAAATCATATACCTTGCCAGGTATAAATTGACCGCCCACAGATGGGGCCCAATAGGGCTGATGCCGATTCGGAGCCGCGGAAGACTTAACAGGATGCCGGGGCTTCGGCTCGAACTGCAGGAATAGGAACGGAGTGGTTTTTAGTCAGGAAGCTCTCACCTCACCCGGGCGGGAGATGTCATTGGATGATTTTGCCTCCTCAAAAAAGCGTTTTGTTTTAAAGCCTAGTTCTATAGCCTTCGTCGATAAATAGACTATCCAAAACTAATTACTCAATTCGAACAAGTACTTCCTGAGATGAGCGCGTTCAAATTCAAACAAACAAAAATCCACAACATTTGTTCATACAAAAGTAGTCTCTAAACATCGGTAACAAGGTCTATAATGGACTAAATGGAGAGCGGTTGGTCACCGGTGACTGCTCGGGGACTGGACTGTTTGTTTTCAACT